AAATGCGGGTATCTGTTCACACACAAAAGTCCATACAAATACTCCGAGGCAGATAGAGGCGCTCGAGTGTGTCCGCTAGAGCTGGAACGAGAACGTGAACGAATGTTACGGCAATTGACTTAGTTCGGTCGGGTAAGCAATGCGATGAAGCCAATGTTGGGCCGTTTACCATGATCAGGCGTACGTGCGAATCAGAATTGTTTGATTGATCCTGACCCAGGGGGTACGCAAAATTCCTCAGACCCCATGACTGTGTCGAAGTTGACCAGTTGTTTGGCAGCATATCGTAGTATGTGTATGGTCATATTGCCTGAAACCATACTGGGACTGATGTGATAAAATGTAGGTTACTGTGGTCATCCTAGCCTATGAGATGAAGCATACCACGGAGCGACACGGTACACTTTCCGGACAACTGTGATCAATCAAGCTTCTTGGGTAACGTCAGCAAAGTGCGTACATGTCACAGCTTCTAGACCGCGGACCGTAGGTCGGTTGTACCAACCACTCTGAAACCATGCGGCCCAGACAGGAGTTGACAATAAACGAACTGCTATTCCTGTAGCCTTTTTCTCGCGTCTCGGTTACGTGGGATACTGTAGTGCAAGTACCAGTGTGATCCAGTGCTTACGTTGCGTCGGTGATCAGTGCGTACTACTATTACTACAATTACCACAGATACGTTTTCGAAGCTTTCACTGCAAATGCATGATAACTGCTGCTTGTTTGTTATCTCATTTTCTTATTCTTCCGTCAAATATGTTTAGTATGACGGTTGATTTGTCACCTTTTTGACTGAAATGTGACCTTAATTTTTATTGATTTATTGTAATCCTGCACAAGTTGTACAAAGAAAAACTACAGCAAATCGAGTAAGTTTGTACACGTGTCTAGATCGACAGAATCTTGATAATCGATTGTTTAATCACTTTTGCAGACATAATAAGTCCCTATCAACACCTCAGTTCACTGCACTATTTTTTGCGGCAAATTTTGTTATCCGTTCCATTTCGCCTGTTATCCGTTACTGCCAGGTTTTGTCTTCAGGACCATAGGAGTGAGAAATCGTTTCACTGGTAAACAAGCTGAACGTGAGATCTCCCATTGATTTATCGGTTCTCTCCTGTACTGACAACTCTTCCAGTTTCGAACATTCAACTTATTACCTTAATTTTTACTTTGATCTGTGCTGACCGATTGAGACTTTGCACAGTCGTGATAACAGACTCGCATGGCCTCGACCGAAACAGATTCGTGACGATAAAAGAGCTTATATGAATGGCTGCGAAATAACTGTCCTACTCATCCGATGCGGAGATACAGCACCCGAAGCGGATGGATACCGAAAGTATTTTGGGAGGAAAGAACTGTTGTGACACATGATCAATATTGAAGCCGCTCTAGGGCACATACACACAATAGCTCCTTCTGGGGTATAGAGAAGCTATTGCTACTATTTGTGCACCCAATAACATAACATGTATTGAAGAGAGCCGGGACTTGAATGTAACTCTTCGAATGAATGTGTAAGTCCATGAGAAGTGGGTAACCTTGATTCTTGTTCTGCATTCAACTCCATCCTGTGGTCAGTCCTTCTCTAAGTGCCTGAATCGATTAGTTGTCCCCCCCCCCGTTTCTCCAGGATGAACTTAAGTGGCTAACTGACGATTGTTATGGCATGAGCAATGAACCTAATCGTATTAGCCCGTGATATCTGATTTCAGTGTTCTATAAGACTTGGTCCTTTCAGTCTTGAGTGTATCGCCTCAAAATAGCGATGCATATGAAATTCACATGTTTCCCGTTCATGTTGGCTGAGAAAGACACATCACACCCAAATGTTGACCGTGTTTCCGATAATCTTGTTCAAATTCATACAATTATAGCGGACCGTAGCCTCGTGCTTTATTTCGTCAAATACGTTCAGTACACCTTCCCCTCCATCACGATCTGGGCGGCCACGTGATCCGGGAGAGCTAAATTCCACTACATGGTTCCGTCAATATATCTTGGTGTTACGCTAGACGCTTCACTCCGCGAGAGATCTCAGATTTAGCTTTCTTAATCAAAATACGTGGCGCGGTTTTTTTGAAGTTTCGTGATATGATGACACGCACACGTTAAGACTTCATTATTTGTTATCCATTTTCGACGCATCACGAGTGTTTTTTTCTGAGCGCTTTCTCTTCCTTGCTCTAATGTCATACGGAGCCTAGCCTATCCAACATGGCATTCTCCCATGAATTCAATGAGTCAGCAATACCCTCCTTGACCTTTTCCAGTTGTTTACCAACAAATTCGGTACACTCTAGACCAAGTGTCCTATCCCGTTCATTAGAGTAAGGGATATTAAAATAACCCTCATATTGCAAACACGTCTGCGTTCAGACTGTGTGCCAAACAAACCACGGTGCCAAAAGATAAAAGGTCCATGATTTTTTCAGGCGTGTGAGATGCTGCGGAATTCACTTAGGATAAAAGGCGATTACTCATATTCGATACCCGTACAGGACACAATCCAAAAATACTGATTTGGAACCCGGCAACCGCAGAATACAGATGGACAGGGTTTCACACTGTGAAGGAAAACATCACATTCCATATAAGTTATTATTTGAGACGTCAAATCATCCAAAAGTGAGGGCACGCTGGGCCTGTCTATATCAAGTCACTGAGATCATCACTGGAGCACATTACGTTATGATTCTTATAGGCCGCTGTTTCCAAACCAACCGTTCTATTTGACGAACCATACTGCGAAAACCCTCTTAAGCGAGTGTGACCAGTCAAACAAAAATCTGATGAAATGAGAAAACACTTCAGGGCAGGAAAAGAATTGTAATTGGTCATATCACAGTGTGTGTGTGTATTACAAAATGAGGGGCTTAGCAAACAAGGTCAGTGACCTAATTCGGCCCGTAAATTCCCCGTTCCACTTGTTCACATATCAGTCGAACTTGATTTGTGAAAAATTCGTAGTTGAACAACTGATTGGGTGCGTAGAACGGATTTTTCAGCACGTAATCCGTATAGGCCTCATAGATCCGTTTGAGTGCTTCACGTGAGGCGGACGGTAATTTTGCATCGGTGATTAGAAGAAATTTCACGCCGATACGGGATTCGAAACAGTGAATACGACAGGACGCACATTCCAGACTCTGGATACCCGAGTTGAAAATCACCGGGCCCCGTTTGTCCGTCAGATCGGGGAAATCGGTGATCGGAGTGTCCTGTAACGGACTTAAATGACGAGACAGTCGGTGCAAACCATGCCACAATCCGGCCAAATGTAACCGATCATTAGAGGTCGGGACGGGTTTGGCGAACTTGACGGTCAGTGGAAAGTTTTTCTCGTCCGAGAACACCTGAGTGAAATTCGAAGTCAAAACGGAGAGAAATGAATATAATGAAGATAAATAAATGTGGTAGTTTGAGCAATATCAGAATTGGGAGTTCATCACATAGGAGGAATGTGTCCGGTAGTTCCACTAAAGGTCACAGCAAGAAAATATTTTTTGTTGTTAATCACGTTCGTCTATGGGATAAAGTGATGTAGTTCCATTTCACACGTGTTTGATTACAGATAAACCACGGTACAATAGTCTATGTAGTAAAGAAAAAAGCCCATGATTTGCTAGTGGGCGGAACATTGCAAGGTTGGTCAGGCTAAGCCCGATGAGTTTTCTTGGGGGTTTCACAACCGGAGCTTTCGGTTGATCAAAGCCTGACCAGAAAGATATCGGGACAAAGTGTGAAAATCGCTATCCACTGGGGGTTGGTGCCCAGTGTATTGGATTATGCGTTCTTTGAACGGGGTCAGAATTTCAACGTGGACAATAAACCGTGAACCCAAATAAAGCCAAAGGTTAATAGCCATCTCAGTCAATTGTACGTTAACACCATGCTAGAGGACAAGTCCCTCCGTCAGCTATAGAACGGAATGCAGTTGCTCCGCGGTCGTTCATTTTGACCTACTACAGTTTCATGTGACATCAAGGAGCACGACAGATCTTTTGCTAAAGTGAACAATATTGTGCAAGCGTTACCGAGACCAAGTACAACGTCACTGATCTCCATCCTCCTGATGGGCTACCTTCAGTGGTCCGAAAAACATGTGTGAACCACCTCGTACAAATCGTTTCATTCATCTTTATTACATGTCTGTCAGAAGGTACACTAGTTGATACGGCGTGATATTCGCATCACTACAGTACCTGATAAAAGGGGGAATTTTCTGCCCATTGCTTCATCGTCAGTACTACCTAAGACTTTTGACTTAAGGCTTTATTCTGTTCTCGTGATTTTGTGATTCCAATAAGTTTGCCTATTGTAAGCGTCTCTCTCATGTAAATGTGGTTGCTTGTCTAACATTCCGTTTTATCTACGATCGACCAAAAACACAAAGCTGTCCTTGTTTGCTTTTAACAACGTATTGATACTGTTACAACAACAAAATCTCCCGCCATCAGTTCACTTGTTTCAATGGAATAAGATCTTCCAATGTCTATGTAAATTAAGGTGTACTGTAAGGATCAATTTCATCCCCTTTTCTGTTCTCTCTTTACATTCGAAATTTATCAATCACCCAAACTGCATTCATGAAGATGCTGATGACGTAGTGGTTGGTGTTGCATACAACAACAATAACTCGTCAATTAACCCCCTTCAATCTGGCATAAGTTCCATCTCTGAATGGTCCGATGGTGTTAACCTTTCTTCAAACCCAACCAAATGCATTGCAGTTTTGTTTTTCATTAATCATTGGGCACCGACACATTCCGGAACATCACGATCAACAAACTAAACATTGCAAGGTCACAACACTTAGAATACCCTGGGCGTTTTCTGTCTGCTGACCTCAAATGGTCCGAACAAGTACCAAAAACATTTTTTGAAGTCACTAAGCTGACTTTTTACATCTCGTGCATTCGAGATTTGAGAGTGCAGTTGTATGTAATTTCCAAGCTTATCTTTTCGTGTTTTATGTCATTGGATCTACTGCTCCTCCGTCTGTTGTCCAAGGATTTCATATTGATCACTGTCTGAAAAACTGTAACGCTTGGCAACCACGCCAGTAATATTTTATCTTGAGTGCTTGTATCTCACTGGACATTTTTGGTTCATTGTGTTTTGTTTGCTTTGTCTCGCAAGTTTACCTTTAATCTCGACCCACAGAATNCTTGCCACTCCGTGTCCCGCCGCCTACCGCTGTTCCCCGCAAAGTCTCGTATCGTCTCCAGCTGCGCGAACACGAGCGCATCTCTGTTTAATCCGCTGAGCTGGTCGTGCCGAAAACAACAACACTGAGCTTAGTACAACACATTCACGATCAAATCGGTCATGGGGGGAAGGGNACTATTAGTGGCCAAAATTGCATACTGATGTTGTTAAAGTGTGTATTCTATGAAACATGTGCGAGGATTAAAAGTCGTGCCCCAGCATTAAGGGCACCCCTGAAACCCATGACTGGCACGCACCGTGGGTAATGAGTTGGAATCGATATAATGGGCCCCATATCGATGGTGCGTGAAGGGAACCCATATGTACTAGTCATGACTGATTATTTCACGAAATGGGCTGAAGCTACTGCCATTCGATTCCAGTACGCAACAACGGTCGCATAAGTATTTGTCTGTGAACAGGGGAACCGATATGGGGCTCCGCAGTTCCTACCCTCCGACCAAAGCGCGGTGTTTGAAAGTCAGCTGTTAAGCGAAGTGTCTCCTTCTTCATCATCATGATTGTACAGCGCAATACAGTGAAGCAAACTTCACTGATCGCTGCCAAACTCATATTGCATACCAGCTAAGTAAAAATGTTTGAGGAGGATAGGGATTGGACTTAATTTTAGGGACGAGAAAAGAAAGCGAACCTCCACGGTCAACACACAGAGTACTACTGTGCATGCATACTATTTCAAGCAATTTGGTCTGATAAGAAGTGACAGCATGATCGCCATTGCTGTCGGTTCGCAGCCATGACCTTCAGTGTCTCTAACCACGCGGTTTCGGAGTCTTTTGGACCCCAACCCGGAAGACCAGAGACAACAGCTCTACCTAATCGCTCTGTGCATTTCTTTATGCCTCGTCTCCACTTCATCTGTTGGCCTCCACGTGGCTTTCTCCAGCCTGCAACAACCACTGCATATAAGGCGCTCTGCGGTAAATGGCCGTCGGACAAAAGCAACACGTGTCCTAACCAACGGAGCCTATTGAGCTGGATTCGATGCGATAGCGAGTTCTTGCTTGAGGTATTCCCAAACACCCGACGACCTACTTCTAAGTTACTAACCCGCTCACTCCATCCAACCTGGGCCAGACTACGTAGGCATCGATTGTCGAACACTGCGAAACGACGGATGTCTTTTACCCGCAAGTTCAAGGTCTCACAACCATACAGCAGAACTGATCGTACAGTGAAGTAGTATACGCGACTTTTCAATTGCAGTGAAACGCCACATCTTTGTTCGAGGTGTTTTAGTCCTGCGTATGCTGGTAGAGCCTTGGAAATGCGGGCGGTTATCTCCTTTGATGCGCTACCGTCGTTGGTCACGAAGCTACCTAAGTACGAGAACCAGTCAACTTCAGCTAATTCCTGACCGTCTAGTTTCAGAACAGAACTCGGCGACACCCAGTCTTGTAGCATCATTTTGCACTTTGAAGGTGCAAAGCACATGCCGAACGGAGCGACAGAACTTGCTGATCTGTCAGGTGCTCTTTGTGCATCCTCCATAGATTCGAACGAACAAACGATGTAGTCAGCTTACTCCAAATCGTACAGCTTTTCTCCGGCTGCCCATTCAATGCCTACATTTTGGAGACCACTTCGTGTGTTCTCCAGTATTTCGTCTATGACGAAATTGAACAGGAATAGCGAGAGGGCACCCTTGACGAACACCGCTGCTAGTTATAAACGACCTACTCAGCTCGCCGTAGACCCTTACGCTACCAGAAGTATATGAGTACAGTGAACTCAATATGTTCACATACTTCTGCGGCATCCCTATGCGAAGGAGTGAACCCATAAGGGATTCGCGATCAACTGAATCGGAGGCTCCTTTTAGGTCAAAGAACACGTCAGTCTTTGGTCGACGGTGCATATGACATAGCTTGAGGACTTGAAGCAGAGTGGAAATTTGATCGATACAACCGCGACCCGGTCGAAATCCTGCTTGTTATTCGCGGATGTTTGTCTCTTTAAACGGTGTCAGATGTCGAAGTATAATGGAGGCTAGTAACTTGGTGACGATTGGGATCAAACTTATTCCACGGTGATTTGCACAGTCATTGCGAGATCACTTCTTAAAAATTGGAACGATCAGTGATTCGCTCCTGGATGATGGAATGCGCTCGTGTAACCAGATGTTACGCATGATATCAATAATGGAGTCTACAAGGTCATAGCCCCACATCTTGAAAAGAGTGGGAGGAAGCCCGTCCGGTCCTGCTGCTTTACCTTTCTTCAGGGTTTGGATGCAAGAACGAACTTCTCCTGCAGTAGGAGACTCAGATGACACTGCCCACGGAGCCTCAGCAACATCGGACGAGATAGACTGGTTAGCGCCTGGCCAGCTGAACTGTTCGCCCACCGGTCAAGCCGTTTTTCCCTATTGTGAATAGCTTGCCCCCTTTTGTCGCAGATTCTTTCACTAACTGTGGTTCGCCGATCTCCCGTATTGTGTATCAGTTGGAACAGTCCTTGGTTATTCCCTGATGCAGCTGCTACTTCTATTTCACTAGCTATCGTTGCCCACTGGTTCTCACGGTCTTTCTTGAGGCTCCTCGTGAGTTGACGTTGTAGACGCCACCTAACCCTGGCTTGATCCCGGATGGTCGGGATTTGCCGCTTTTTCTCCATCAGTGCTACTGGCTCATCAGATATCCAATGCCTCGGGCGAGCTACTGCTTCATATCCACAATCAACGCTCGCTGCGGAGTGCATTGCTCGGCTAATCTGATCACGTTGTTCGTTTACACTACCACCCTGCAGTGCGTTTAGCTCTTGCCCTAGTTCTGATTCAAAACGGACACGAA